AGGATGAAAAATTCGCCATTATATTTCCCCTCACTCCTCTACCCTCAGCAGACACTCTTCTCCAACCTCTCCATCTGGATGTCAACCTTCTGTTTACTCCAACTCTCCCTCTTTCATCCAATACACTGACCCTATCCCCAGCCCTGTCATTTTCTTCTTTGTGGTAGTCTTCAATGTACCAGTGGACTCCGTTCAGGTCTGCTTCCCGAGATGCTGCTCTCCCACCCTCACTCAGCCCCCTTTCACCTCGCTGGCTCTCACTACAAGAGCTTTCTAGCTGGTCTCCCTGACTCCAGCCTCCCTCCTGCAATCCGGCTCGTGCAAGTTGCCAGATTAATCTTCCTGAGCACTGCTTTCATCAAATCTCTTTCCAGCTCCAGCACCCCTACTGCCTTTTGTATTCAATCCAAATGCCTTCATTTGGCTCTCAGGGCCTCTCACCTTCTGCCCTCATTCTTCCAGCCACCCTCCCTCCCCCACTTCTTCAATCCCATTTCTCCTTTCTCATTATTCCTTAACAGAGCCCCTCTTTTCAGCCAAGCTAATCTGTTGACTACCCCCTCCCGCCCGCAATTTGCATTTCTGCCTCTTGTTCTTTTGCACGTACTGTTCTTTCTCCCTGCAAAGTCCTTTCCCCCTCAACTCCAAGAAGCTTCATCCTTGACCTTCTTAACAAGCTCCATTAAGAATTAACTTTTCCAGGAAGCCTTCCTGGATTAATTTGATCAGATCCACAATTTTGGTTTGAGCCTAATGAAGTTGCCGTTATTCACCCATTTTAGACGTACAGAAATGGCGGCAATTTTGTATGGTTCAAGCTTTGATTTTTATATTGTTAATGTGTATGTCTTTGTCAGTTGTTTAAGATGCCCTCCTGAAGCATTTCTGCCTCTTTGACTGCCATAAACTCTCTGGAAGCAGAGTCAACGAGGCCTGAAATGCAGCAGAGCATACAGTGGGTGCTGTTTTGTTTTTAATGGGTTCATTTCCTTGTACTATGCAGTGGGCTTCGTCACTAACTCTCTTGTATTGAAGTTAGGGGTATACATGACCGTCTTGCCACTGGTCTGTGAACTCTTCAAGGGCAAAGGTGAGGTGTGATTCATCTTTGATACTACCCCTGCACCTAGCACGGTGCCCGGCGAAGAGTAAATCCTCAATAAATATTTAGAGAACAGAGTCAAAGGAATTGCTGCACCTTTTTGCCCTGCAAGGAATAGAGGGGGCATGGGGATCCTCTAATCTTCTTAGAAAAGACCTGGAGAAAAACTTGTGAATCCCTGAGACTTGGCACAATCTAATTACCAGACAAATATAGATCTCAGCAAACATAAGTTCCATGGCAACCAGTCTGGCAGTGCACTCGCCTCTCCCTGGCAGCCTGCCAACTGTTACCTGCAGGTTCAAGAGAGCCAGAAAGCAAGCACCAGATAATTTCTCTACTTTGAGCTCTGCCACCCTGCCCCACACCTTTGCTGACTCTACCTGTATGTTCCTGCTGTGGAGAGAGTAGTACTCTTTCTCTGTGTGTTAATTCCTTAAATTCGTAGAATCAAAGCCCATTGGACACAAGCATGCCAGTCTGTCTAATAAAATAGAAAGCAGTCAATGAAACAGCACCCTCAGAGCCCTTGAGGACATTGCAGATGTGGTAAGTTAATCCTGCCTTACTCATGACACAATGCTTTCTTTTCAGAGTTGCTGTGGACGGCCCCCGAACTGTTGAGAACCCTGAGGGGCAGCAAGTTGGGTTCTTTTGCAGGAGATGTGTATAGCTTTGCCATCATCATGCAAGAAGTGATGATGCGGAGCACCCCATTCTGCATGATGGATTTGCCTGCCGAAGGTAAGCAGGAAGTGCGAAAAGGGCACCAGGGGCCCACCATGACCAAGATCGTTAAGCCAAACTAGGCTAGGGTAATTTTAGAGAAGAGTGAGCATGGTTATGTTTGGGCTATCAACTTGCTAGTCTTCAAGCAGCCCATGTTTTGGGTAGGTGGGACTTTGGAGCCTGATTACAACTAAGAAGTTTTCATAACTTTACCCCCTGTATGTTTGTTAGTTGCTGTTCAGTTGGCTCCAACTCATAGTGACCCTATATGAAACACTGCCCAGTCATGTGCCATCCTAACAGTCATGGGTATACTTGAGCCCATGATTGCAGCCACTGTCAATCCTTCTCCTTGAGAGTCTTTCCCTTTTAAGCTGACCTGCTACTTTCTCCAGGGAATGGTCCCTTCTGATAATATGGCTAAAGTACTAGAGACAAAGTCTGGACATTCTCATTTCTAAGGAGCACTCTGGCTGTACTTCCAAGACAGATTTGTTTACTCTTCCTGGCAGCCCATGGTATTTTCAATATTCTTCACCAATAACACAATTCAAATGCATCAGTTCTTCTTCTGTCTTCCTTATTCATTGTCCAGCTTTCACATGCATATGAGGCTATTGAAAATACCATGGCTTGGGTCAGGCACAACTTCTTGGTCTCCAAACAGACATCATCGCAGAAGTCTTTTGCAGCAGATTTGCCCAGTGAAATATGTTGTTTGATTTCTTGACTGGTGCTCCCATGGGTGTTGATTGTGGAGCCAAGTAACATGAAGTCCTTGGCAACTTCAGTCTTTTCTCCGTTTATTGTGCTGTTCCTTATTGGTCCAATTGTGAGGATTTTAGTTTTCTTTATGTTAAAGTCTTTAATCTTCATCAGTAAGTACTCAAGTCTTCTTCACTTTCAGCAAGTGAAGTGGTGTCATCTGCATATCTCTAGTTGTTAATGAATCTTCCTCCAATCTTGATGCTGTGTTCTTTTCCATAGAATCCAGCTTCTCAAATTATCTGCCCGGCATGCAGATTGAATAAGTATGGCAAAAGGATACAAGCTTGATGCACACCTTTCCTGATTTCAAACCATGATGTATCCCCTTGTATTCAAATGACTGCCTCTTGGTCATTGTACAGGTTCCTTATGAGCACAATTAAGTGTTTTGGAATTCTCATTCTTCACAATGGTATCCATAATTTGTTTTGATCCACACAGTTAAATGAATGCCTTTGCATACTCCATAATCTTTCTGGTATTGTTTGCTTTCAGCCATGATCCCTCTGACACCAGCAATGATAACCCTCATACCACATCCTCTTCTGAATCTGGCTAAAATTTCTGGCAGTTCCATCTATGTACTACTGCAACTATTTTTTAATTATTTTCAGCAAAACTTTTCCGTGTGATATTAGTGATATTGTTCAATAATTTCCACATTCTGCTGGACCACCTTTCTTTAGAATGGACACAAATATGGATCTCTTCTAGTCA